TGTGGATTCGCTTAAGATTTTTACTTCATTGGATTGTACATTTTCTTTCACATATAGTGCCACTCCCCTCCCGCACGACCTGTTCTGTCCTTCCGATATATTTTGTACCGCGGAATGATTGTGTCCCATTGATTGCTCTCAGTCCACCAGGTTTCTGTGATGCCTATTATATCAATATCCTCCTTTATCACGAGGCACTCTAGTTCTCCCATCTTATTATTTAGACTTCTAGCATTTGTGTACAAGCACTTTAAAAACTTGTCACTGTTTAGTTGTCTGCCCTTTTCTGATGTGTCAGATTCTTTTTTATGTGAATGTTTATCATCTGATCTGGCCCCTACTTTATCCTCTTCCATCCTCTGCTCCTGACTAGAACCTGGAGATTCTCTACCATTAGACTCTCCCCTAAGAGAAGTCTCTGTCCCATCCACATGCTCCTCTGCAGCAGTCGGCTTTCCCCCATCTCCGAGTTTCTTGCTGGTGCGTGAAGTTCCTTTTAAAACCCTCCTACAGCTGCCTTTGAAATCCAGACACGAAAGACATGGATTTATACAATGAAGCAAACTATCTGCTTCACTGTACAGCCTAACTGTTATTTTGTACTGTGGTGGCCTTTGAGCTCATCTTTAGCAGAAAGGAACCACGCACGATCTTACCGTTTTCATTCATAAGATTTACACCGGAGCACTTGAAATACACATCTGCTCACAGCCCTTCATGGTACATATTTCTGTGCAGACGCACACACGCACACACATGCACACACGCTCTGAAACCTGTCTGAAGTAGAGATGGGCGCACTATTCAAACTGAACAATTGATGTTGTTGAATGTTATTAAAGTCATCAAAGAAATTATCCAACAACTAACCAGCTCCATGATTAGCCCATCCCTCCTAGGATAAAACACCCGCTAGACGAACAGGTAAGTGACTAAAGAAATGTGGCTCTTCATTTATAGGTGAAGCAGAATGGCCCCAGACTGTGAGCGTTTGGGAAGCTTTAAGGTGGCTGCGTAAGACAAGGAGTTGTTGCCTGGAAAGGAGACGAGTGTCCAGAGAAAGCATCCTCAAATATTCCTGCTCACAAGGGACACAAGAGAAATGGAAGCTGGCTGTTAAAGGCGAGCCGTGAAGAAAAGGATCTCTGCCGGGCGTGCGGCTAAACGGTACGTACTGATTTATTACGCACAGTTCAGCTGGAATTCCTAGACGATAAAGCGAATGATGCGATGTGCAGAATTACTCAGTTTGGTAAATGTACCGGTGTCCTTAGGGAACGTTTCCATATGTATAGCTAGATGCGTGTATGTCAAATCTTTGTCTCTCGCACATGAATATAGTACACATCACAAAGTCACACATCCCTCATTCACATACACACGTCACGTCACACAACACACATGACACATGGCAGGCGCGAAACACCCAGCCCCACACATTACTCAAAACAGTCACACAACACCCATATGACACATACCAGCTACACAATGCCCATCCATGCACACATTACACATCCCAGTCACACACATATTACAGACACACACACATACAAAAGTCACACACACACACTCTCTCACAATCTTAGTTTCATAGGTTTTACCTTGCCTGGACCTATGTATTTCTCCCTCTGCTATTATTTATCTATTTATCTCTGCAAAGTCTTCAGCTATTGTGTGTATAAAATACTCAACTTTCTTTTGCATCACATTGTATAATTATGCCCATAGACATGGAGTAAATGCAGGCAAAGTCCATTGTCTGGGCCTGGCTGGCGACTCGTGGCGTGGCACATCTTAGGTTCTGTCTGCACTGCAGTCGGGGCAGCAGGGGGCGGCATACCGAGCTAGCTTGCTAAAAACAGCGGGGTAGCCGCTGCGGCCCGGGCGAGCAGCCCACGTACGTCCCCGGGGCCCTGAGCACGACTGTACTGGAGCGCTAGCCGGTGCTGCCACCCGCGTCGCTGCCGTTACACGGCTCCAGCCGAACTCGCTCAGGTGTGGCTGCGTGTGCGGCAGGGCGGAGGGACCCCCAGAGAGTTAGACCCTGTTTAAAAAGCAAGTACCTGCCTCTCTCCAGTGCTTCTCCAGTCCCTGCATGACCGCAGTACTTGAGCACCTCAGAGTCTTTACTGTATTTATCCTCACGGGGCCCCCTGAGGCAGGGCAGTGCTGTGATCCCCACGGCACAGACGGGGAACTAAGGCACCGAGACAGCCTGAGAGTGACTGTCCCCAGTCACCCGTTGCAGAGCAGGTCGCCCGAATCCCAGGCTAACACCCTAACCTCGGGCCAGCCAGAAGGCAGGGACAAAGACCCACATCGCAGGACCCTGCATTGTTCCTGCAAGGGAGAACGTTCCTGCTCTTCCTCACAAGATCCAGTGTCTCCCAGCTGGGAGTCACTGGCAAGTCAGGCTTCGGCTCTGGCAGCCCCGGGGATCCACCCCCCGGGTGGCCAGTTCTCCTCCCACTTCTATACCCAGCAACTGCAACCAACTTCGGTTCTGACTGCCAGGAGAGAGGCTTTAGCACATGAGAAGTGATTCTACCCTGTACCAGAAGGGGAGGCCAGGGTAAAGGAAGCAGCCCCCTGCTTTATTCCCAGGGTCCATGTGTTTGGTCTTGGGTGGTCTTAGGTATCCAGGAGTCCACCCAGGGATGTCCCAGAAAAAAACCCTGTGCAGCAAATCCGCCAGTTCTGCCTTAGCCTTGAGAGGCTCCATTTGAACCTTCAGCGTCTCGTGATACTTATGGCCGGGGCAGATATTGTACATGGCAGATAACTACCCACGTTGCCCCTCTCCAATCCCTAAGAGCATGGTGCGTATGTGGCACGCTGCACAGGCAGTGCTAAGGAACGCAGCACGGTGCTGGCCAAGAGCCAGGCAGCCCCACGTCAGGGAGTAAATACACGTGACAAGGAATCTTCCCTCTGCCTATGCAATGCCCTGACTAGGGAATGGAAAACTAACAGGGAAAGAAAAGGATGAAGCTGACGGCGCCTCCGGCTGTGCCGGCATCTGGACTGATCAGAGGGGGTGGGACTGACTGATACACAACCATCCCTTTTTCCTAGAAGCCGGGAGCGTGGGTGTAATGCCTGGCATTTCGGTCGTGCCTAGAGCGTGAACCAAGACTCGGCAGCTCCAAGAGCATGACCCTCACTGCTGGAGCTAAAGGAATCCCATCCCTTGCTAGGAGCGGGAGCCGTCAGACGTGTCCTGACACATGGCTGTAACACGGAACAGCTGGCTACACCGCTGCAGAGACCGGCTGGCTCCTCGCAGGAAGGACGGTGCAGTGGGAAGAGCACGAGCAGAGGCTGCGGGGGAGACCTGGGTTCAAGTCCCTCCTCTACCACAGGCGCCGTGTGTGCTTGGACAGGTCACTGAGTGTCTGTGCCTCAGTTCCTGTCTGCACCATGGAGATCCCAGCCTCCCTGGGGTGGTGAGAGGATAAACACAGCGCAGATTGCCAGGCATGCTGATCCCGTGGGAACAGAAGGGCTATGGAAGAACCTTACACAGAAGCAGCCGGAGTTGGATCCAGATCGGACGGTTCACAGCGTTTAGACCCAAACTCTGAGGGAGCAGGAGAGGGTTCAATCTTCATGATCCACCAGGATCTGGCCCGTCTCTGGTGCAAAGGAATAGCTGCTGCCGCTACTCAGCGTCCACCCTAGAGCTTTAAAACCCACCTGCCCGGGAGGGTAAATGTTAGTCTGTAACCCTGAGCCTCCTGCAGGAGGAAAATCATTGCGATGCCGCATTCTGACCTTGTTCTAGTCCCTGGTGTATTTCCCGAGAAAGCCTCCTCAGCCAGCAGGCGTATTGCAGCTCCTGCTCTGTGCATGGCCGCTTCCGCTCCATTCTTTGCTGCGTGACGGTAAAGAAATAGCACGGCATGAAATCCATGAGATTCTCTCTTCCCTCTGATCCGGGCCAGCTGCCACTGGCATGTCAATGCTAACCGCATCGTCCTTTCCGACACCTCTCCGGGGAGGTGCTTTGACCGTACCCAGGTGCTGCAGTAGAGTTTGCCTTGGCAGCAGCGCCTGGTTTAGCTCGATACAGAGCGTTACTCTCAATTCGCAGCAGGAGAGCGGAGGGCTAGAATTGTGCGATCCGGTCAGATAATGCTCACTAAATGCACAGAAAGCAGAGAAAGGAGGAGAAAGGCTGAGCCTTAAAGATCAATCACAGGGAACGGATTATGCGTGAGGATGAAACAATGATGGAAGATCTAGACGTCAGAGAGGTACGAAGGGAATAAAAATTGACAGTGGGAAGAAAAGAATGAGGCAATTCAGAAAAGAGCAATAAATCAAAAGCTAGCAGCATTCAGAGCCCCCATTGTGAGCCTTCTCCCGGGTACCTCCGTCCCCCCCACCCACGTTTTTCTCATGGCGTGTCCAGCTGAGCCGCTCTCATGTCAAGGGTCACTGCTGGGTCAGAGGTCAGTGAGTGGCACTGCACCCCTGTGTGCCACATTGCAATGCCACTCAGGTTTGGGGAGCCTCTCAGCCAGGGGGCCTGGAACAACCTGCCCCTTTTGCCCCCGCTCCGGGGTACACCCTGTGTTGAACGTGCATATGGCTGTGGGCAGCACTGCTTTCTCCTGCCTATAAATGGAACCCACTGGCTCAGTTGGGTCTTCCTCTAGTGGCTGGTCCACAGAAGAGGATAACAGCCTGATAGATCTACCAGCGAAAGGAGCGACTCCTTTAGCTCACACAGTAACACTTGTGCCGGGGAAGCGGATTATTCACTGTTATAGTTGAGCAAACAAAGACTTTGATTACAACAGAGGAACTCGGATCCCCTGACACTGGTCGCTGCGCTGCACTAGCACCTCTTAGGACAATGAAGAGGGACCCCAATAAAAATGAGATATTTAAAATCCCACCTCCAGTTCCTCCCACCCTCTTGTGAGATGTTAGGCTCTGCACATTCTCTCTCCCAGCCAGGCCAGTGACAGGTGATAGTCCCTCTGGCAAAGCAAGGCTGAATGTTCGTTCCTCTACAGAAGCAGTGTGGTCTAGTGGAAAAGGCACTGAGCTGGCACTCTGGAGACATGGGGTCTGTTCCCAGCTCTGCTGCTGAGTCACTGTGTAACCTGGGGCAAGACACCTCATCTTTCTGTGCCTCAGTTTCCCTACCTAGTCTGAGGACAGTGGCACTCAGCCACTGTGGTAAAGTGCCTGCAGCTCTCTGGATGAGCAGGTACCTAGCAAATCACTGCAATACCTAGGCAGATTCTGCATCAACCCTGATCCTGAACAGAAATACCTTGTGTTGTTACTGAAGAAGCCTGGAACATGAGATTCTGACTGCAAAGAAACGGTGCCACCCACTCTCTGGATGGGATGTGCCTTCGCTGGCTTCTCCTGCTGTTTCTCTGAGATTCCTCTTGCAAAGTGCTGCCACCCAACAGCAGTCTCTGAGAAGCCGCCCGATCTCCGAGCAGGCTAATTGCTCGACTATACAGCAGCGGCCCCTTCATTGCTGCTAACTTGCTTGGGCTCTCATCTTGTTTTCATGCACAGACCTTCCCAATTAGCTTTTACATCTGGGAGGGGAAAATAGCTCTTGTAACAAATCCACTGCTAGCCTGGACTTCAGGATTGTCACCATGCTGCCCTGCACAGACACTCAGAATTTCACATTGACATTTCAGATCTTCCTTCTCCAAGAGCCCAGACCAGTCTGCTCAGAGGGAGAATCTCCCTTAAATATTTACACTATAGGGCTGGTGACACACAGTATGGCAGTTCTCAATCCATCCAGCAGAGGGCAGTAGTAACACATACACACACATGACAGTTCATTACAATATCAATAAGTTATCTTACGGTCTGTGGTTTAAATTGCGATGTACCCGCCTCTGCCAGCTTTGGGTGCCCCTCGCCAGTGTACTGTTAGAAAGCTGCATTCAGAGACTGGTGAGAGGCTCACCGATCGGTGGCAGAGCCTTAGGGGGTACAGGAATCCCTGCCATATGATGCAGAGAAAAAATGTGCACCCACCACTTTTCCCCTCAATGCTTAAGACTCTGCATCTCCCAACACCTCGGCTTTGTAATTGCTACCCAGCCAGTAGTGATCTGAGCCTCCCAGAGACTTGGGGAGGTAGGGAAGGAATTTTGCAGCTAGGGAACACATAGATGAAGCCACTTGCCCAAAGCCACACAGACGGTCTGTGCCAAAGCTGGGAATAGAACCTAGATCTCCGGGTCCTGTGCTTCAACACACTCACTAGCACACTCACTCTCCCCCATGCTGGCCATTTTCTCCTGACACTTGAACCTGTGACCTTGTCCTTAGAGATGGGTCTGGATCCGAACACGCTGGACTCTGGGGAAGCCAGGCTCTGAGATACCAGAACCAGCCACCTGTATAATAAACTTCATTCTGTTTAACAAAGACAAATGCAAAGTGCTGCACTTAGGAAAAAAAAATCAGTTTCACACATACAGAATGGGAAGAGACTGTCTAGGAAGGAGTATGGCAGAAAGGGATCTAGGGGTTATAGTGGACCACAAGCTAAATATGAGTCAACAGTGTAATGCTGTTGCAAAAAAAGCAAACATGATTCTGGGATGTATTAACAGGTGTGTTGCGAGCAAGACACGAGAAGTCATTCTTACGCTCTACTCTGCTCTGGTTAGGCCTCAGCTGGAGTATTGTGTCCAGTTCTGGGCACCGCATTTCAAGAAAGATGTGGAGAAATTGGAAAGTGTCCAGAGAAGAGCAACAAGAATGATTAAAAGTCTTGAGAACATGACCTATGCAGGAAGGCTGAAAGAAAAGAGAAGACTGAGAGGGGACATGATAGCAGTTTTCAGTTATCTAAAAGGATGTCATAAGGAGGAGGGAGAAAACTGGTTCACCTTAGCCTCTAAGGATAGAACAAGAAGCAATGGGCTTAAACTGCAGCAAGGGAGGTCTAGGTTGGACATTAGGAAAAAGTTTCTAACTGTCAGGGTGGTTAAACACTGGAATAAATTGCCTAGGGAGTTGTGGAATCTCCATCTCTGGAGATATTTAAGAGTAGGTTAGATAAATGTCTATCAGGGATGGTCTAGACAGTATTTGGTCCTGCCATGCGGGCAGGGGACTGGACTCGATGACCTCTCGAGGTCCCTTCCAGTCCTAGAATCTATGAATCTATAATAGAGCTAAAGCTGTCTCCTTTCAAACCCAGGCCAGAATCCACAGAACTCCTGGCATGCAGATAACGCCCTGACCAGCACTTTCTCCAGGAGTGGCACCTGGCCAAGCCCCCCTGAATCAGCACATGATCCGACAGGACAGAGCCTACAGACTGTTTCCATTCACTGTTGGTTCTTTATTGATGTGTTCTCTCTAACAATGCGTTCGGAGCTGTACAGGACACTAAATGAGGACAGTCCCTGACTCAAGAGCTTTCAACCTCAGAGATGGAGACGGGACATGCTGGAAGCAGAGAGAGATAATGGTTGGGTTCTAATCTGGGGGACATCATGGAAGGAGCAAGTCTCACAAGGAGCATTGTCCATCTCTAAAGGACAGAGCACGGGAGATGGGCTGGCAAGCTTCATTTCTCTTCTCCAGCGTCCCGTCCTCCCTCAATAAAACACCTTCTCCAGGTACGCATTCAGGAACATGCCGGTGGGATCCAGCTCCTCCCGCATGGTACAGAACTTCCGGAAGCCGGGATACATCTTCTCAAAGTCCTTCCGGGTACAGGTGTGAGCCTATGAGAGAGCAACTGTGTCAGCGAACCGTCCGCCCACGAACACTGAGCAACAACGGCAGACGTGAGCTCTCTGTGTGTTCGTCTGGAGAGATCTACAGGTGCGTACACTGCCTGGGGACAATCACAGCAACAGAGTCCCGACCCCAGAGGCTTTACAATCAGGCTGGCTCCATCTGGACAGGAGCAGCACAGGGTGGTGTGGTTCTTACAGGTGGAAGGTCTGTGACGTCCAGGGGTGGCCAGAACTAATACATACAGTGAAACCTGCCCTGAAACCCCCCTGCCTCAGACACCTTTAGGGACATCTCCCGTTTTGTAAACCCAGGTCTGCGGCTCATTTCCAAGCCCAGCCTTGAGAGTCCACACTGCATGGTAAACCCGGGCTTACAATTGCTGGGTCTGGGTCTTCCAGTCGTGCTAATGTGTCCACGCTGCACAACATAGACCTTCTGACTCCGGTCCACAGCTTGGCCTGGGTCCGCACTGCACAATGGCAGGGGTTAGACCCAACTCACAGCAGGACCTGGGCTCTGACCACCCACTAGCAGGGTCCTAGGGCCCAGGCTCTGAGTGCTTGGTGTGTGGACGGAAGAGGGACTTGGTCTCAAACCTGAACCAGAGCCCAGGCTCCGTGTGCAGTGTAGACAGACCCTCTATGTCTGAGGGGGCCACTTTGCTCATCCATGAGGTTCTAAAGGCCACGTTTGCCCTCACGGGTCTAGACTGAAAGCTGAGCCATACCACCCCTTCCCCCATCTCTCCTCAGCCCCATTGCCCTAGGATGATCCTCACCTACCGCCCCTCCTTAAA